TCATCTGAAGTCGATAGCGAGCTCCCGTGATAGTTTCATTAGGTTTCTTCGTCTTCAAACTTTGTCGGTGCTCCAGAACGTTCTTTATCTTCAAGGTCAAAGTCATTATTTTTAAAGCGCCTAAACCAGTCTCTGCATGTCGTATTCGACAGAGCATTGTCACCATATGTTTCAACAAGAATTCTGTGTGCTTCAGCTGCAGATTTCTTTTGAATAAAGCAGTGCAATAAAATTCCCCGCAAAAACACTTTATTGGGCACAAAAGTAGACATTTTCGCAATAGGTAATTAAACACGTGGTTGACACTGTGGTAAACTGTATCTACTAGAATTTGAGGTTACATATAGTACTACTTAGCTGATGCGTTTCCGTACGAAATTCCATGCACAGAGTGCCGCTACGCCATCTTTTAAGAAACAGCGAGAACTTATTCAAGGACCTAATACAATGTATCATATATTGATAGTAAATAATATAATAAATAATTAAAGAAATCTTTTAATCTAAAACCAATTGTTTATCGATAATTTATCTAATCTTCTTTTTTTACTTACTTGCTAATTGACGCGCGAGTTCTTTAGTAAATAGAATATTCGCCAGTTTACTCTGTGTATAGGCTTTCCATGGTCCATAAGACTTTTCCAAATTAATATCATCAAAATTTATATTGCCAACTGTTAAAGAAAAGGATAATTTGTATTTTTAATGGCAGTAAGCATAAAAAATGTAGATTTAATCAAATTACTATACCAGCCTAAAGTTTAATATTTTTCTCAATAAATAAAAAGTTAGTCAGCTGAAAGTTATCGTATAAAATTATGTAAATAATAAGATTCTTAATAAAAACTAATTATTCAAAATTTATTAATTATTCTACAAAATTACAATAAAACCTGTTTCCATTTCAAGCATTTGCTGTATTTTATGTGCTTTTTCTGCTGGTTGCATTGCAATGTACAATAAAACTTACACCAATGCGTACAAGACGATACGTTGATTATCCTACAGCCAAAACCAGATAATT